AACAGCCCTGGCCTTCTCCCATAACCTGCTGGCTAATTCAGATCATTGTTTCCATTGCTCAGATAAGGAGAACATCACATGCAGAGTGACTAACACAGTACCTGGCACACATAGTAGGCCTTCAATAAATGAAGGGCAATTCTCTGTCTTTTCCTTTAGGTGTCAAGAAAAAGTAGATTTGAGTCATTTTTCTTACGGGTATTTACTAATATTGGCTGTACCTTCATAATGTATGTGTGATATCTGTGCAAGATACAAAAATTTAGATGTATATGACTATATTTTATTTGTTAATTTGGGGAAATTAACAAATAAAATATCTCTCTGCAGGTATTAGCCTTACTTGTCGGGAAATTTAGCAGAGGTATTTTCCTGCAAGAGAAATCATCATGAAAACTATCTTGCCCAGGCAAGTGGGATTAGGATTCTACTCAGTAGACTTTTCTACTCCAGAAAAATTGTGGAAAAGCAGATTCATAATTGGTCCCAGGATGGCAGCATCTCAGCCTGTTCAAGGAATCTCTGTCCAGTTTCCCAGGGGTTTCGTTCCATGTTTTAGACTTGTCATTCTCTCTAAATCATTTATAGGTAAATCTCCATAATATTGTAGAGGTATCAAGAGCCAGGAAATTTGGAACTTACATTAGAAACAGTGCATCAAGATTTTTTAAGTTGGCCTGGCGAGGTGGCTCAAGCCTGCAATCCCAGTACTTTGGGAGGCGGAGGTAGGCGGATCACGAGGTCAGGAGATCAGATTATTCTGGGCAACATGAGGAAACCCCATCTCTACTAAAAAATACAAAAAATTAGCCAGGCTTGGTAATGCACGCCTGTAGTTCCAGCTACCTGGGAGTCTGAGGCTGGGAATTGCTTGAACACGGGTGGCAGAGGTTGCAGTGAGCCGAGATTGTGCCACTGCACTCCAGCCTGGGTGACACAGTGAGACTCCGTCTCAAAAAAAAAAAAAAAAGATTTTTTAAGTTATAAAAAACAGAATATGGTAGAACTTTTGGTTAAACAAAAAATGTCTTTAAAGAAGGCCACATTTGTAACTCATCAGTTTAAAAATGAGACTTTGAAGTCCCTGTACCAGGAGACAAAGATGACCTGATACCGGTGCTGAAAGGCACCCGACTCATCTTATAGCCCAAGCTGCTGTCCTACAGACGTGAAAACCAGACCTAGAGAGGGGAGTTAGGCATGGCAGGGCTAGGAGAGAGCCAGGTACACTAATGCTATTGGGCAATTGTTTTACATTCTCCTCTGTATGTTCTAAAAGTATGTATTTTTTTTCCTGCAGAGAAAATTAAACTTTAAAAGGCACAAGTCACATGGCCTGCTTTCGACCTGGCATTGGCTGCTGGGATGTCCCCACTGAGGCTTCCCTTAGCCCCCAGGCCCTTCTGCCCATTTCTGCTTCAATTCTGGCTCTCTCTCTATCAGTCCCTTACACTTGCTGTTCTCCTCCCTTCCCCCTCCCCCAGCAGAGCCCTGCCTGTGCTCTTGCTTCTGAATCGAAAGTCTTCCCTCACTGCTTTGTTATTAACTCGTACTCAACCTTGAGGTCAAGCTGCACTTTCTCAGGGATGTCTTTTCTCATCTTCCTGACCATGTAAAATTTGCGTATTATAGAGTACTTGAAACCTTTCCTTTACAACTCTGGTCCTAGATGCAGCTTTCATTTGTTTATTGGATTACTTGATTTTTAAATTTTCCCTCTCTGCTGTAAACTCCAAAACAATAGAGATTGTACCTGGAATGACATAGACGTTCAATAACTACTTATTAGATGAATGATCACTGAGGGCTTCCCGAGCACTGGTCTCAGGCCACTCAGTGTCCTCTGGGCTGGATAAGAGCAAAGTTGCACTGCTACATGTTGGGGTCCCTGGAAGGGGCTCTCAGAACTCACCTAGATGCCTGGGAGACCTAGACCCCTGGGCGGATGCTTCTCTTTACATTGCTTTTCTTTTTTTTTTTTTTTTTTTTGAGACGGAGTTTCACTCATGTTACCCAGGCTGGAGTGCAATGGCGCAATCTCGGCTCACCGCAACCTCCGCCTCCTGGGTTCAGGCAATTCTCCTGCCCCAGCCTCCTGAGTAGCTGGGATTACAGGCACGCACCACCATGCCCAGCTAATTTTTTGTATTTTTAGTAGAGACGGGGTTTCACCATGTTGACCAGGATGGTCTCGATCTCTTGACCTCGTGATCCACCCGCCTTTGCCTCCCAAAGTGCTGGGATTACAGGCTTGAGCCACCGCGCCCGGCCTACATTGCTTTTCTACATATCCACCTATAACACACAATCAGGGCTCCTGTGAAGGTTTGGGGTTCCACAAAGCTATTTCTTCTCTAATCCATCTCATATTTCCAAATTCAGTCTCCTAGTTCATGGTAATCAGGGACTTTGTTTTCAATATGACATTAGTTTTCTGGGGTCCAGAGGGTAGTTATACATGTGTGTTCATTGAGTAACACACTTCTAATTTGTATACGTTTCTAGAAGTGTGTTTCATTTCAACAGAAAATTTGAAAACATTTGAAAAAGGCCTTAATAGTAACTTAGATAGTAATAATAAGAGACAAACAGAGACAGAGAGAAAAACAGAAGAGAAAGAGAGAGATCAAAAAGGGCAATCATAGGGGGTGGTTAGAAAAATCATTGAGCAGCCACACTAAGGAAATATTAAAAACCAAACAACAAAAGGAAATAAGATACAGCTATATGCACTAACCAAATTTATATTCAATATTCACATATTACATGAAAACAGCCAGTCATAGAGCAACATGTATTATGACCCTATATAATGAAAGAGAAAAGGCTAAGATATGCAATCAATGGAGATTTATTAATGTGTAGCTGTTTGCTTCTTGGCTTTTTCTTCCACTCACACGCCCTATTAAAGAAAAGTATATTTTTGCCCTTTGACCTTTATAATTCTGATACTGAACTATATGTGTTCTGCTGTGCATAGTAAGCCAGGGAAGCCGACAGATCTCAAATCCACCTTTCCGAGGACGTGGCTTCAGGGACATATTTATGGGATAGAGGAGCAAGGTAGTTCAGGGCCTGGGGAAGTGCGGTGGAAGGCAAGGGCAGTGAGGTAAGTAGCATTCTGCGCATGCATAGTCAAGCTTCATGGCTCTTCATAAGAAGCATGTTCAGAAAATGGTGACATAACATGATCTGAGGGAGGAGTTTTGGGCTCTCTGACATCAAAGGGTCACCTCTCAGGCATTCATGCAGGTCTAGTTGAAGGGTCAGTGGTTTCAGTGAACTAGAAAAGAGCCAACACCAAGTTCTTAAAAAACAATAAGCAACCATCAGCATGGTAACCTATATGTCACGAATGTTCTCTAAAAGGAAGCTAGCAGATTGCTTAGCTACGTGACTTTTTGCTATATAGGTTTTAAGATTAACTAGAAGTAAGTGCAAGGAGGCAAGAAAGGCAGGTTCAGTTTGGTGAGCTTCGTCAGGTTACCTCTTGATTTCAACTACTTTCTTCCCTCCCACACAAAATCAATAGAATGGGCTAGACAGAGCATTAGGACAGCTGGAGAAAAGAGGAGAGGTTTTATTCCTAGGTGAATTCCTGTTATTCCTGTGTTTTATTCCTAGGTTATTCTCCTGAACAGAGACTACTAAGATTGCGTAAGTATAGAAACATTAACAAGGCAGACAGAAAAACTCAAACCATCTACATAATCAGGACCAGAACCAGGTGAGATTGAGGAGGAAAGGAGAGTGAGCAAGGAGAGAGAGAGCAAAGAAGCCACAATGTCTGGATGTTAGGAGCATTTCGGAGAGTTTAGTGAGAGGCTGATGAACAGCTGTGGAATATGGAGGAATTGAAAACTATAGAAATGAGATTTTTCGAAGTATGTATTGGGTTTTAAAGAGGATTCTCTACAATATTTTTTGATACAAGACTGTTGCGCTGGGCTTTGTGGATACCAGTCTCTAAAGAGACTAGACCACAGAGAGCTTCCGCACTCCACTCTCCTGTATTGCAGGACCCACTTGGTGGTACAAGAGGGAAGCGTGGTACTGGCCAAGGCAGTTCCATCCCTGAGTGGGTTTCCAGTGACTGGGCTGCAAGCTTAGGGAGTTTGGATGAAGGGATGGGGGACTGTTTGTGGAGCTACAAGTGTTTAGACATTCAAAGGCAGCAGAGCGGTCAAGATGACCTTCTGCTAGTGTCCAGGGTTGATCTACAGAAGATCGTTTAGAAATAAACACATGACTCCCTGCTCTTTTCCATTCATTCCTTTATGCATCACCAAACATATCGTCTCCTATGCACCTGGCCTTGTAGGGTTGTTCTGAACACTTGTTACTCCTCTATGTTTTAATGTTTGAATTTTGGAGTCTCTAGTTACGTAAGTCCACCCCAAATTCTCTAGAGCTAGCTAAGTAATGGAGAAGAAAGTGCTAACGAGGATGAGCAACTGCCCTGGGGGCCCCAAAGCCCCTCACACAAGATTCACCTTCCTTTGGAGATGGCTCACCTGCTACAGGTCTGACCTGGTAAATAGCTAATAACTTCGGGGCAGTCCTAGCCTCTTCCCTCAGGCCTTCACCCTATAGTTTTAAGAGGGCAAGCCTATCAGATAAGAAAATGCCCTCTGCACAGTCGTGCAGACATGGTCCAGTGATGCTCCTGAGCAGGTATGATTTCACAATCCCTTCAACACCCAGGAAGACCAGGGCCTGATCATGGCCAACCCCTCTCTGAGACCCATCAAAGGGCAGCCCAGAGGCAGCCCTCAGCCCCCAAGTCTCCATTATCAGATGCTGCCAACTTGCATGGGAAAGTTTATTCATAACATTCTAGAACGCATGGGGGTCCTGGGCTGGGATTTCACCAGCTCAGACTGCCTGTTCACATTCCTGCAGATCTTTCCTCTGGCTGAGAAACAAGAGGAAGAAGAGAGAGGCAGGAGGGTGCCTGATACAAATGCGTAAATATGGACCAAACAAACAGACAGACATTACCGTGAATTGCATTCAGAGCTTTATTCTTGCCAAAGTTTGGGGGTTGCACTAACTCTGGCAGGCTGCCTTGGTAGAGAAGCAAAGCACAGAGAGGGGGTCAGAAGCTGGTGCATGTTCCAGAAGGGATGGTGGAGCAGTGCATTCTGGAGTTGGACTGTTGTGTGTTTAGCAGCAGCAGTCATCCTCATGGTCACAGCATGCAGGACCTCGGGACCTCATGGGAATAATTCCCAAACAGCCGAACCCAGAGCCACAGCATCCACAGTTACTACATCCACAGCCGCAGCCACAGCCCCCAGAACCGCAGCCTCCAGAGCTTCCCGAATTCTCACAGCAGCCAGACGATCCTGTGTCGCAGTCCTGGGGTCGCTGAATCCAGCGTCTCAGGGGACTCACCCCGAAGGTCCGGGGAGCCAGACAGCAGTAGCTGGTGGAACAGGGAGCAGAGCATGGATCAGGGACACAGTACCCAGAGGTCGAGCCACTTGCAGGAGCTTGAACATAGTAACTCTGACAAGGAGAAGCACACTGGACATAGCGCGTCTGGGTCTGGCAAGGAGCTGGACATTTGACGTAGGTTGTCTGGCAGGGAGCTGGGCACTTGACAGAAGTTTGGCAGGGAGTTGGGCATTTCACATAGGTCTTTTGGCAGGGAGCTGGGCATTTCACATAGGTCGTCTGGCAGGGAGCTGGGCATTTCACATAGGTTGTCTGGCAGGGAGCTGGGCACTTCACGTAGGTTTGGCAGGGAGTCGGACATTTCACATAGGTTGTCTGGCAGGGAGCTGGGCACTTCACGTAGGTTTGAGTCTGGCATGGAACTTGGCACTTCACATAGGTTTGAGTGGGGCATGGAGCAGGGCCCGTCACGCAGACAGTTTTGGTTTGGCATGGAGCTGGGCATTTCACAGAGGCACCATTGGTACCCTGTCCAGCCCCCAGTCCCGAACCTTTCACACAAGATGGAGGGAACTGCGGCTGTGTCTGCTGGTCACACATTGTTCTGTGGCTTTGCAAAATCTGAAAAGAAAGATTTCATCAGAACTGTAAAACTAGGAGGGTTTCCAGGGAAACCTTCAACATCCCCTTTGGACACAATGATTTGCAAGTAGGGCTTTCTTGTGACGGTCTCAGACATCCAGAGGTGGTACACTTGGCAGGAGGTGGATTCAGAGCCAGGGACTCTGGGCTCAGCTCCTGCGCCCGTACCTGACTATGTGGCCTGGTACAAGTCACCACTCACCTCTAGTTCTCAGTCTCCACGATGGGAAATGGAGGCTTGAAATGATGCTGTCTGTGTTTCTACCCAGCTCTCCAAGCCTCCCCTTGTCTTACTTCAATGTCTGCATTGTAAATTACCCTTTGGAAATTGCTACTCCCAGATGATTGCCTCCTGCCACAAATTCTCTCCAGGGTGGCTTCCCTTCTTCCTCCCGCCCAGACAAGGAGTACCCAGGAAAGGCGCTTTTACGTCAATGGACCATGAGCCAACATGAGCCTAAGCTGTGCCCGGTAGGGAGCAAAGAACAAGGCTAAATTTGAGCAGGTTTCCACCGTGTGCTCCTCAAACCAGCTGGACTATCACTTGGCCTCATTAGCACATGGACTCAAGAGAGGACTGCACAACTACACTCAGAAGGGGATGGGGAGCCAGTTCTCCAAAGTTTCTTCTTACACAGGAATATCAGCTCAGCTTGGCCCTCTCCCTCTCCTCTCACACCCCAGGCTCCAGGTTTCCCACCAGCATTGCCTTCAGCCTCCTTCAGCAGATTTCCTCAGCATCTAGTCCTCACTCACCCTTCATCCCACCCCAGCTTCACCAAGGCTCTGTTTCTCGCCATGTACTTATCCGGTTTAGAGACTTACCCTCTTTGCTGATAGGAGCAAGACTGGAAGAAGTCAGTGATCTGAAAAACTGGCAGGTGGGGAGACCTTTTATAGGGCAGCAATGAGGCAATTTAATGGCATCTAAATGAAGCACCAGAGATCACAAGGAGGAGGGCTGGTGTTGCATTGGCAAGATTCCTCCCCAGTAGGCCTGGCTCCTCGTCAGAGGCAGGGCATGTTTGAGCTTGATGCTGGGTTTTCCCAAACACTAGCTAAATTATTCCTGTTCCCTTCTTCAGGAAACAAGCCAGTCTCCTTTTCCTAGAAGTTATGAGTGATGTCCATGTGATCTGTCTCTAATGAAGCTGTTTCTAGGTCACTTGAGTCTTTAAGGACTTATCCAAGGTATAGATTCTCAATTTTTCATACACTGTGCCAAAAGCTAGTGAATGAAAAATTGCGACTCTAACTGTCAATTTGCTACACTTCACTCAGCCTGAGTGTTCTTTCTGCGGGCTTCCATGGTGGCTTCTGCTGATCTAGGTTGCTGAGCAGAGTCTGGCCTGGTGGTGTCTGGCCTAATATAACAGTAGGACCTCAAATAATTGGTTTGTTTCATGAAACATCAGGTTTTTCTAGGTTCATTTGGAAACTGGGTGAGTGCTTGATGATCTCAGACTCCAGGCTGGGGTCTAGACCGCCTCGCCTCAGCCTTCTCCTGCCCCTTAGGCTCTCCTTATTCTTACCTTTCAGGACCTCACTACCAGGTTTCAATTCCAAAGAATCCTGAGCAGGGAAAATTCCAGTCAGATGAATTCTGTGTGATAGCAATAATCATAATAATAGAATCTAAAGTTTATTTGAACGCTTTATATGTACCAAACAATTCATGAGTCAGTACATTTACAGATGGACACAACTGAGGCCCTGAAGGATTAAGGGAGTTACCCTCATCACAAAGCAGGTAAATAAGGAAGCCAGGCTTCAGATGCAGGCAGTCTGCTTTCATAGGTCACAATCTTTTTCACTACAGTATGTTGGCTTTTATTTCTGAACATAGCATTGTCCTTGAATCCCTGCTTCTTTTCTTTTCTGCAATGCAGAAGATGTAGAAAGAGAGGTGGGAATATTATCGATTGAGCACTTACTATGTGGTGAATACTATTCTAGGCTCTTTGCCTGCATTATTTCATTGGATTTTGAAATAACCCTACAAGATAGCTTCATTAGCCCCAGTTTTACATAAAGGAAACTGAGATTCAGAGGTCTATTTTGCCAAGATCATCCCATCAATAGGTAATGGAGTGACATTGGAACCCAAACCTACCCAGCTTCAGACCCCACGCTACTCCCACTGAGCTGTATTGGGCCTCCCTGAAGCAGGTTGTCGTGAATGTAAGTGTAACACTGGTCCAGATGTCAATTCCTTACAGAAGCCAGAGCAGGTTCCACAGTGGCCCCTATGGCATCTCAGGTAAATGGTTCTACCGTATTATACATAACAGATCCCCACATTTCTCAGGACCCATAAACTTTAAGGTTTCTACATTTCCTAAACAAAGAGGATGCAAAGACCCGCTAATTCACAGACCCTCCCCCATGCCAAGACAGGTCTTACAAAATCTTCACCTGAACATGTTTAAAAATCTCCTCAACCCCACCTGCCAGCCAACCCAGGCTCTAGTAATCAGCAGTCTACTCTCTATTTCTATGAGACCAACATTTTTAGATTCCACGTATAAGTGAAATCATGCAGTATCTGTATCTAGGCTTGGCTTATTGTGCTTAGTATAATATCTTTTAGGTTCATTCACCTTCTCACAAATGACAGAATTTTCTTGTTTTTATTACTGAATAGTATTCCTTGTGTGTATATATAGCATTTTAAAACATCCTTTTTTTTTTTTGATTTACACTTAGCTTGATTCCTTATATTGGGTATTGCGAATAGCACTGCAATAAACATGGGAATGCAGAAATCTCTTCAACATTACTGATTTCAATTTCTTTGGATATATGCCTACTGGTGTGATTGCTGAATTATATGCCAGTGCTATTTTTAATTTTTTGAAAGCCTTCCATCCTGCTTTCCACATGCACATGGCTGTACTAGTTTGCATTCCTGCCAGTGGTGTGCTAGATCTTATTTTCTCCACATCCTTGCCTACACGTTATCTTTTGTCTTTCTAATTTCATGTAACATATTGACCTCCAGTTCCATCCATGTTGCTGGAAATAACAGGATTCCACTGCTTTTTATGGCTGGATAGTATTCCATTGTGTGTTCATAACCCATTTTCCTTATTTATTTATTCACTGATGGACACTTAGGTTGATTCTATATCTTTTCTATTTATTATAAACAGCACTGCAATAAACCTGGGGCTACAGTTATCCCTTTGATATACTAATTTTCTTTCCTTTAAACAAATATCCAGTAGTGGGATTGTTGGATAATGCGGTTTGCATTTTCTTGAGACACCTCTATGCTGTTTTCCATAATGGCTGCTCTAACTTACATTCTTGCCAACGATATATAAGTTCCCTTTTCTCTACATCTTTGTCTTCATTTTTATTTTTTTGTTTTTTTGATAATAGCCATTCTTACAGGCTCCTGCAACTACAGAATATCATAGCCAGAAGGAGCCTCATCTAGCCTCTGCTTTAGATTAAAAGAGGAAAGGCCTAGAGACAGCAGGGCACTGTGGAATCACAGGGTGAGGCAGTGGCAGAAGCAGGATGAGAGTTGTGGTTTTGATTTGCATTTTCCCTGATGATTAGTAATACTGAGCATTTTTCCTAGACATGTTGTTCATTTGTATGTCTTCTTTTGAGAAATATATATTCAGGTCCTCTGCCCATTTTTAAATTGTGTTACTTGTGTTCTTTCGATTGAGTTGTTTGAGTTCCTTATACATTTTGGATATTAACTCCTTATCAGACGTATAGTTTCCAAATGTTTTCTCATTTTGTAGTTGTCTCTTCACTCCATTGTTTGTTTCCTTTTCTGTACAGAAGCATTTTAACTCGATATAATCTTATTTGTCTATTTTTGCTTTTGCTGTCCATGTTTTTGAAGTCAAATTCAGAAAGACACTGCCTGACCAATATCATGGAGCTTTTCTCCTGTTTTTTTTTTTTCTAGTTTTTGTAGTTTCATAGTTTCAAATCTTAAATTTACATTTTTAATTTATTTTAAATTGATTTTTGTATACAGTGTGAGATATGCATTTCATTCTTCTTCATGGGAATACCCAGTTTTTTAGTAACACTTATTCAAGAGACTTTCCTTTCCCTATTGTGTGTTGTTGGCACCTTTGTCAAAGATCAGTTGATAGCAAACATATGGATTAATTTCTGGGCTCTCTATTCTCTTTCAATGGTCTATGCATCTGTTTTTATGCCAGTACCATGCTGTTTGGGTTACTATAGCTTTGTAGTATATTTTAAAGTCAGGTAGTGTGATGTCTCTCTGCTCCTAAACAATTCAGAAGAAGCAAGATGGGAGGCTCTGCCCTAGGCTTGGTGTCCTGACTTGGTGTCCTCAGGCATGGTGCCCTGCTTCCTCCTGTGATTCTTGTCTCTGGGGGGCTTGTCATACTGCACAGCTTCTGCTATGAAGCCCACCAGTCCCTCTCACCAAAGGTAGGGGTAAATGAGGAGGAATGTGGTTCCAGGCCATTCCACTTCTGCTCTCCTAAGTCCCACATCAGTGCATACCCAGACCGGATGTTTTGGGGAGTAAAAGGAAAAGGAACAATCTTGTATTGGGGTCAAACACCACACAGGAGAGCTCATCAAATCTGGTTCTCACAATAGTGTCCCAAACAAAAAATAACTTGCTCAAGGTCACACAGTTAGAAGTAGTAGAACCAGAATTTGAACCTAGGTAAAAGAGACTTCAAATTTTGTTTTTTTACCAAAACATGCTGCATCTGGTGTTACAATCCATGATGCTTCAGGAACCATACCTTTCAGTCACCCAACACACAAGCAGTCATTACCAAGCCTTCTGCATTGTATGTGGGCTGGGACAGCCCTACTTTACAGAGAAGAAAATACCCCAGAAGACCAGCCATTTTAAGATGTGCCAACAAAACTGGAGACAGACATTTCAAGGCACAAATAGAAAGACCTAGACTCTCATCCTGATTCTGCCACTGCCTCACCCTGCGATTCCACAGTGCCCTGCTGTCTCTAGGCCTTTTCTCTTCCAATCTAAAGCAAAGAGGCTAGATGAGGCCTCTTCTGGCTATGATATTCTGTAGTTGTCGGAGCCTATTCTACAAGGGAAATGTGTACTTCCACAACCTAGTTTTCCATGAAGTTGCTCCCACAGACTATAATTTTCAAGAATTGGTAGCTGTGGATATATTCACTGTATATCATCGTAGGACCTGGGAAACACTGGCTAAACAAATAAATGAGTGAATGAATAAATGCGGATGCTTTACTTTGACAGCACAGCCCATGCTGACCTCCTTCCTCCACGTGGTCAGTGCAGTCCTGCCATTAGCTAATCTGTGTGTCTCATGCCATCTGTGAGCTCTGATTGGCTCACTTCCTGCCGTATGGATTCGAGCTCTCACTAATGGGTTTGACATCTGCAAGCAATGCTAACATACCTGGTGAGAGACACCTTATCTATGACAGGTGGGTAGGTTGTGCCCCACCCATTCTATAGGCTGGGAAGGCAAGGCATGGAGAAGTCAGATGACTGGTGCAAGTGCCAGGATGACTCACAGGGTTATCCCAAATGCTCCTAGAACCTCCCTTGCATGTATCTCTTTGCATACAAGCTCATATAATCAGAGTCTTGTGGATTCACAGAAAACTAGTCCAGGGTAATAGGCAGAGGGAATCATCTCCAAGGCAGGAAGTACTAAAGCAGGGCATGGAGTCTGGCCCCTGCCAGAATGCAATTAAATACCTGTGTCATACAGCCTAATGGGCTGCTCTGCTTAGAAAGATCTGCTAATCTTTAAAAGTTCTCTGTAAGCTAGGTGCAGTGGCTCATGTAATTCTAGCTAGTCCAGAGGCTGAGGCAGGAGAATTGCTTGAGCCCATGAG